TGGGACAGGGTGGAGGAGCTGTGGGCATCCGTGCCAGCTGTACCAGTGCTTGACACCTTCCCTTCAGGCAGTGCTGGTGGTGGAGAAGGCACTGGGTGACCTCTGGATCCAGCTGCCCTGCATTGACCAGGTGGGCAGCTGCACCTACAACGATGTCTGCACCATCCTTGACAACCTCATCCCGCCCGGCACGACCTGCCCGGAGCCCCTGCTCACCTATGGCATCCCCTGCCACTGCCCCTTCAAAGCGGTACGCCTGGAACCCCTGGCCGGTGTGATGCCGGCAGCGCCGCTGGGTACCACTGTGCCCTTCGGTGCAGGGCTGGAGGGGTTTGGCTGGCATCTTGCCGACATGTCCCCTCTCTCCACAGGGCTCCTACTCCCTGCCAGCCAGTGACTTCATCCTGCCCGATGTGGAGCTGCCTTCCTGGATGACCAACGGCAACTACCGTGTCCGGGCGGCCGTCAGCAACGGCGGGGGGGGGGTAGCTCGCCTGCGTCAAGCTGGCTTTCTCCCTACAGTCCCAGTGAGGGGCAGGGGATCGTCCCTCCTCTCCCCACCGCCTTGGTCCCCATCCCATGCAGCTGCACCCCCATCCCAACCTGTCCCTGCGAGGTGTATCACTCCCGCTGCCTGGAGGAGGCAGCCCCTGTACCCCTGCTTGGTACCCACACCCCACACCCCCACTCTCTGCTACGCACAGAAAGGCCCCTCTGGCTGTCCTGATGTCCCCAGCCCCTTGACCGGAGTGTCCCCTGCCCCAGACAGGGTGACTTTGGAGCCTAACCCCAGGCTTTCGTGACCTGGGGATAGTTATTTTTTACCCAGTTTCTCTCTTTTTTGTTTTTTTTTTCCTTAATCCCATCAGGGTAATTTTAGACAAAAACATTCCAGGGAAAAGCAATATTTCTTGGAGCAGTCCGTGGGGAGGAGGGAGTGTTTGGGAGGGCTGGGGGCAGGCTGGAGGGATGCCGAATTAGTTGTGGAGGGTGTCCCCACTTGCCTCCACCACCTCTGGTCAGATCATGGGGCTATTTTGCAGAAGTGTCCCCAAAGTGGCCACAGGACACCTGTCCCCCCATGGCAGCTCTGCGTCTGCCTTTAGTGCGTCCCTTCCTGTGCATGGGACCAGCGTGGCGACAGGAGGCACCTGCGAGGGCACCTCCCCGTCCCCCTCCTGTGACAAACATCACGGGTACAACAGGACTGAGACTGCCCAAACCCCCAATGGACATTCCCACTCATGAGGGACCAAGCGGCTGATGCTGCTCCCAGCAGCAGGAGAGGTGGCCGGACACCAGCTGTGCTCAGTCTGGGGGGACACACGGCTGTGACGGGCAGCTGGGGCACAGCCTGGCCGAGGACAAGTCCCACTCATCTCATTTTGTCACTGGGACTGAGACAAGGCAGGACACTGCACTGGGATCATCCCTGCTGTGCACTGGCAGAAACACCCCACGACGTGAAGTAGCATCCTGGAGATGGGATGGACGGGGAGATGACCACGAAGACCAGCAGCCCGGGTCCTGTTTGGGGGCCCTGCAGCCCATCTCCAAGTTAAGGCTGGGGGCCGAGGCGTGGGCAGGCAGCATCCTTCCTGCCTGCAGCTCTGGGCAGGGCATTTGTCTGACATCACCTGCCTAGGCCCGGTCCTCGCAGGGCAGAGGTGCAGGTGACCCACCAGCCACCCACATCCCCTGCTCCCTTGCTGCCCCTGCCTGCTTGCATTATTTAGCCCTCCGTAGGGCTGGTCTTCCTCCAAGCACTTTATACGCCTTAACTACTGCCGGGCTGCCCCAGCGGGAGGTCCTCTGCTGTGCGGACGTGCTCCCACCGCCTTTCTGTGCCCGCGGCTCGCTCCTGCTGCTGGGTCCGACTCGGGTTTGTTTTGCCTGGAGAAGCACTAACCCTCTACGCTCCCCGCCGCCACGCAGTGCCCGTGCTAGGGCGGCATCCTCCTTTTGGGCAGGTACTGCAGGTTCTTAATAAATCTTTTTACCAGGAAGCAGAGCTGGTGCCTCTTGGTGCTGGGGGTGACCTGGGGGTGGCTTTTGTTTCCCTCGAAATAGCAGAGACGTGGTTTTGAGCTGGGGGAAATGAAAGTGGTGGTGGAGCTGGGGTGGAGGCAGCGGTGGAGGATGCTGCGGCCAGAAGAGCTGAGTGTGAGCAGCCCCGAGGTCGGCTCCTGTGCAAGGGGCACAGCGAGGATCCGCAGGCGCTGCTTTCGCACAAAGGGACACACCA